ACAATAGGGGCAGTGGTGAGCTTAAGTTTAAAGAAATCAAAAGCTTTTTTACAATTCTCATCAAAGTGAAAAGGCACATCTTTACCCAACAAGGCAGTTAGAGGTAAAGCTATTTTTGAAAAGTCCTTTATGAATCTTCTGTAAAATCCCACATGTCCCAAAAAAGCTCTGACATCTTTTAAGTTGGTAGGGTAAGGTAAGGCTGAAATGACCTCTACCTTAGCCTTATCAACTTCCAAACCCCTTTTAGAAACAACATGTCCCAAAACAACACCTTTATCTACCATAAAATGACACTTTTCAAAATTCAGAACAAGGTTTGACTCAACACATCTTTGTAAAACCATAGCTAAATTCTCTAAACCCTCATCAAAACTGTCTCCATACACAGTAAAATCATCCATGAAAACCTCCATTATTTTTGTCAAATAATATGAAAAGATGTTGGTCATGCACCTTTGGAATGTTGCAGGGGCATTGCATAGACCAAAAGGCATTCTTTTAAAAGCAAAGGTCCCTTAATGACAAACAAAAGTGGTCTTTTCCTGGTCTTCAGGAGAAATAGGGAATTGAATGTATCCTGAATACCCATCCAGAAAACTATAATGGGATCTTCGAGACAATCTCTCTAACATTTGTTCCATAAAAGGTAAATGGAAATGGTCTTTCTTGGTGGCCTTATTTAATTTCCTATAATCTATGCATACCCTCCACCCTGATTGAACCCTTTTAGTAATCTGTTCCCCTTTCTCATTGGTAACCATTGTGGCTCCTCCTTTCTTAGGAACCACATGAATAGGACTCACCCATTCAGAGTTTAAAATGGGGTAAATTACACTTGATCCATTTTAAGAGTTCCTTTTGTACAACCTCTAACATTGGGGGGTTGATTCTTCTTAAAGGGTCAACCTTAATTAGGCTCAGAGCCAGGTTCTAAAAGAATCCTGTGACTACAGAAGGCTGGACTGATGCCCTTCAAGTCAGCTAAGGTCCACCCTATGGCTCCACTGAATTGTTTTAACACTCCTAACAGCATGTCTTCTTGTTCCTCAGTCAGTTTACTGGAGATGATCACTGGTAAGGTTTTGTTCAAGCCTAAATAAGCATACTTAAGATCTAAGGGTAGAGGTTTCAAATCCAACTCAGGTGGTTGGACAAGGGAGGGCAACTGTCTGGGTACATTTTTTGGCAGCTCCAGAGTATGAGTTAAAGAAACAGTTTTAACCTCAGATAGCATTTTAACATATTTATGAATCTCTGAATTTACAGTGTATGGAGAGAATTTCAAGGATTCAGGATCCAGACTATTGGACAACACACTCAAAAGCTCATCCTGATTTGATAATTGAAAAACATCTTGTGCCATTTCATCAATGATGTATAATGTAAAAACTTGATTGAGTTGATCAGGAAACTTCATTGCTTCAAAAATGTTAAACTTAATAACTTCATTTTCAAATTCTAAGGACAAAGTTCCTGCATCAACATCAATTTTGGCCTTAGCAGTTTTCAAAAATGGTCTGCCCAGAAGGAGAGGGATGCCTGAATAATCCTTTCCCATGTTAAGGACATAAAAGTCAGCAGGAAAGAGCATGTCATTGACCTGGACTAAAACATCCTCAACCACCCCTTCAGGGTAAGTCAAACTCCTGTCAGCAAGTTGAATAACTACCCCAGTCTCTTTTAGTTCTCCTACCCCCAACTGGTCAAATAACTCCCTAGGCATGACATTGATGGATGCTCCTAAATCAAGTAAAGCCTTGGTATTCTCCAAATTTCCAATCTTACAAGGCACAGAAAACACACCAGGATCCTGACATTTCTGTGGAAGTTTCTTTTGAAAGAT